AATTAAATAATTATGGATATGCAGCTGTAAAGAAGCTGGAATGTGCCATTAGAAAACCAGCTGTCAGTTTTATTGGTCCTCAGAATTTTTGAAATTTGATGTTAAGGGGCTTTCACCATTCGATACATTTTCAAAATAAAATCCCAGGATGCCCAAGAGGGGATTCAAAAAATATTCATACCAAAGATACATCTCAGCAAAAATCAAATATTACGCAGCAGCATGTATGATGTGTCCAGGTATGATTGCTTGAGTAAATGTGCGTTGCATTTGTACCTGAGCCTGATTAGGTTGCATGGAAACCATCCCCTCCCCCAGCTCCCGCTGCCGCTTCCACCTGCTATTGCCACCCCTGTCAGCCCATGGAGCCAGAAAGAGATACATCATTAATATATAAAATGGACAACATGAATCTGTCTTATGTTTAAGAAGTATGAAGTACTAAGATAATACTTAAACCAGAATGTCAATGTTCAATCCACCCTGAAAATTGGAATGGCCTCATCCTCATATTAAGGTAATATACAAATAATAGTGTATAGTGTATCCACAATTGGTCAATAAATAAAGCATAAGAGCGTTTAGCTCCCCAGTCCTGAAAAACATCAAATTCATTTGGAATTGGAATGCTGAGTCAGCAAACCTTTACACCATAAACAGAATTATTGGTACACAGAAACTGATACCGAGGCTTAGAATTTTATAGTGCTTCTCAACAAATAAATGAGCAGCAGCCTTTTATATACCTCTCTGATCTATAAGGATGAGCAGCCTACAGCATTTTTATGACCATCAAATCCCATTCCAATTACTAATTTACTGACTGATTGATAAATGTGATATATGGGGCACTCAGCTCAGAGAAACTCTGACTGGCATATGAGATATAAAAAGAATCTGAAACAATAGAAATAAGGGAAATGGATAACTAGGCAAATAACACATTAATAAAATTGTCACAGCAGCACAGGTTGCCTGGCACCTGGAGAATAGCTAAGTCTTCCAAAACAGCAGGGCTGGGACAACTCAAACCTTTGGAAGGATAGAATTCCAGAGGGGAGATCATACAGAGTAAAAGTATGCCACTAAAGTTGATGCAGATTTAAGGATGAGACCTGGAGAATATCCATTTTGTTGGATCTTATTGGATGGGCAGAATGAATGGAAGACTGGTGGTCCCTCAATAAATAGGGCCTATGCCAAAAAGGATTTTATAGATCACAGTTGCACTTGGCAGCTGACTAGGAAGCAATTGTCCATATGGATAACAGCTCTGCTCATACTACTCTTCTGGATCAGCTGCAGCTTCCAAATGGCATCCCAACCTTGCACATTGTAATAGTCCACGTAAAAGTTGATAAAGATGTGACTGACCATTGGATTGTATTCCCAGTCCAGGAAAGGATGCAACTGTCACACCAAATGTATTTCAACAGTTCCCACCCCACCCCAGCAAAGCAGTCACCTGCTCTTTAAGTAGGTGTATTCCATACTAGTTGTATCCGAAAGGGCACCACCCCATTTAGAATTAAAAATAGTAAAGGTTTCATACAGAGAACACAAAACATAAAGTGACTTGGTTTTTCCAGGGTGGAGTTTAAGTCTGCTTCTGTCCATCCAGATCCAAACAAATAGCACTTGGTCATCCCAAGGAACAGGATATTAGGAGCATATTGATGATACAAACATCAAGTCTTATGACATCCACATCTGAGGGGCCTCAGTTGCAACCATTCCTGCCAGTCAACACCAACATCAACTAGAACCAGATGTGGGGGGAAAAAGAAGAAACCCAAAACCATGCCTCCCACTCGTGTTCTCCACATTCTGTCCAGAAGGATACCATGATCAATAGTTTCAAAAGTTGCTGAAAGATAAAGGAGAACCAGAACAACTGCACCACCACTATATCCCAGTTCTCATAGAAGTCATCAATAAACATGATCAATGCTGATTCTGTACTATGAACCCAGTCTGAGACCTAATTGAAAAGTTTCCCAACAATTATGATTGCTTTAAAATGTTATAAAATATTCCTTGAAAGATTGAGTGCTTAGAGAATTAGGCTGGGGTTAGGGAAACCCAGATTTACCATGGAACCCTCTGGACTACTAAAACTTAGTCCCTATGTCTCAACCAACCTTAAATTAGATATTATCATTGTACAAATAAATTGTGAGGGCCTCACATATATGCTACATTAAGAGCTGTAGAGAAAAGAAGGATATAGGAGTAAGGAAAAAGAAAAATGAAGAAAAGTCTTAAATCCAAGTATGACTACATCCTTGCACTGATAACTTGGAAGGAGATAGATCAGTCAGAGAAAGCCCATCCATTCATGACACCAAGTGACAAGTTGCAACACTAGCACCATCAATCATCAATGATGGTGTGAATTATAGTACCAAACATCCCAAAGTACATGCCTCTACAAGGTTTGTTTGTGTGTGAGAGCAGTGTAAAAATTGATCAAAATAATTATTTGTTCTACAAGTCACATATTTCAAAGAATGGGGCAACAGAAGAACCACTTTTAACATTTAAACAAAAAGGTCATTATGAAATCTATTAGTTAGTAAATCTTACTTATATAAGCATTGTTCTTCATCTCAGAGAAGCTTTTGCTTTATACAAAAACAAAAATATAAATAACATCATCTCTAGAAATATGCCTGGGTGATATGCTGCAAAGGAAACTCATAATACTTCCTTTAAGAAAGTTACATACAAATGAAGTGCTACTATCTACTCTCAGCCATTAGACTTTAGGATCATAAGCAGCTGTCTCTTAGTTGATGTACTATGATTGGAAGAAGCGGTCTTTCAGATGTTTGGGTTCTGAACCATTTTAGGATTTGGTGTCAATATTTGAAACTCACATGCAACTAATATACTGTAGCTATGGATGCCACAACTGAAAAGGCCATCCCTTGTGCCCACTACAATACAATATGTACTTCTCATAACATACTTAACAGCCTCGTTGCTAACACCACCATCACTACCTACCAACTTATTATCCATGTAAATACTATACTGTGAAAGGTATGAGTTCCTAACTGTTAAAACCCCTGTACATCATCAAAACCTTGAAATCTTTTTTTAAAACAATGTTACTGATTTTTAGTGTTGCTTTACCAGTTTAGCATCAAAGTGTTCTAGTCAGAAAAGTGTTCCATGTAAGGCCTCCTGTTGCAACTTTGCAATCATCTTTTAGGACCCATTGCATACAGATCCCTTGATGTATTGTGAGTAATCTGAATGGAAAATTATCAAAATATGGGTCATTAGGGACACTCCTGTTCAGGATTCAGGGAGATCAGAGCTGTTAAATCTGTAGGAGCTGACCAAATGGACTTTAGGGGCACTGATGCTATTCTGAATGACAGAGATGAATCCAATGGTGCATTAAAGCTAGGGGACTTTTTTGTTGTTGTTTCTGAGTAACAGGAGTATACATCATCCAGAGTCATAGACCTATGCAAATCACGAGCCAGCAGTGCAGTCTATTTCCATTTAATAGGATTTCAACCTTTGTTAATTGGCATTGAGACATTGTTCCGACCCCAATATTTCATCTTTTGAATCTGACAGTAAGATTTAGAGTCATCATTGTACTTCAAGGCCCCTGATGATCAGTGTTTTCATATAGATTTTTTAAAAACTCAATATTTAAAAAAAAAATCAGAAAAACAAAATACTAAATTTTAAACAATAATCCAAAAAGAAAATAAGAATCTAATAACAACATGAATACCACTGACTTTAACTACGATATTGGCAATCTCTAATATTCTCTTATTTTCCCGATATAGGTTCAAAGAAGAAATCCAACTCTTATAAAACAAGCAAAATCACCAATAATCAACCATGCACAATCATATATAGCTAACATTCTGTTTTTGTTCTTGTATAATCATATATAGCTAACATTGTTTTTTTGTCTATTACTTTCAAAAATAGGATGGAAGTGTTTTAAATAAATTAACATTAAAGCACATTAAGTATTTGAATATAAAACATGCCATAAAAGTTTCCTAACATAAGCATCCCTGTAAATTACATTTCCAATTAAGTCACTAATTCAAGTATTAGCATTTATTACTGAACCATAATAAGAACAACATTGCAATTTCTGCATTACTTTTCAAAACTGCTATAAGCACTCATTTAAATGCAGAGTAACATGGAAAAGCAATTCAATTTCATATTGGTGTTCACCGAAACTGAAAATCTATTTTGATGAGGATCAAATCTATGCAAATGCTTGTATATATACAGTAGTGGAATCCAACTATATTGTTGTCAGAAAAAAATACCAGATTGTTCAGAAATAGCAAAATCAGATACTAAAACTGAGGAGACTCCTTAAAAAGTCAGCAAAGTAGCCATGATCCTTATGTCAGAATTGTTATTGGAATGTCATTCTTCAGCAACCAGTTACTATTTTAAAATATGTATTTTTAAGAAAAGGGATCCTGTTGGAAAAGGGATGGAATGAGTAGATTTTACTTCCTTCCTCTGCATGAAAGCAAGTTAAATTGTTAGCAGGTGATTTTGCTGACTGTGCTTGATTATTCCAAACACCCAAATTAAATCACATTTGAAAATTTGCTGTAATTAAATCAGCAGTCCCTTTTTGTGAGCCCTGATTGTACTAAGCGAATGCTCAGATAACACATCAGACAATCCAATTAATAGTTAACATAAAAGAGATAGTAGCATCTCTGTATTTTTCTTTGAATGTGCGTTGCACATAAGGAGGATCCAGAAATTCTGGCAGTCTGTGCTGCCACCTAGCCAAGACGTACCCTCGAATTTACAGTCAATCTGTGCTGAAAAGACTTGTTCTAAACTTATCCCCCTTGGACCCTGTTTTCCTAGAATAAAATTAAAATTAAAATCACAGACGGTGAGTCTTGTACGGACTAGAAAGGGGGCCCTCAAAAGAAACAGACTTCAAGCAAACTGAACCAATATCAGACATCATTTGTACTTACGATAAAAGACATATTCTGTGTAGCTGGACCACACTTTATCATCACTGTACTGATTGACAAAAGAAGCCGTCACAGAGGAATTGCAGGCTACCATGTGGAATCCACATTCTGACAACATATCAAAAGCCCGTTCCAGGTGCCTGAACTTCAGGTAGAACCTAGAAGTGTATCTATCAGGAGCTCGGTCTGGGTCTCTGCTTTCATTCAAACTTTCTCCAAAAACTTCTTTGACTAGAGCAATCCTGCCACAAACCAAAATCCTTGGGACTCTTCTGAATTTGGCATCTGCTTGGGTCTCCCTGCCCATGGGGCATGAACCTCTGTAGCCAATGGTAATGAAGCCCCACTTTCTATCCGAGGCCATGAGAGATGAAGGGGCGCATATTCTTGTGTCACTGCTTTGGGAAACCTCCTCATAGTCACTATGGCAATAATCATCAGGGCTTTGCTTGATCTCATCGGGCGTCAGAAGTTTGACCAAATCTGGGAGCTGAAAGTACTCGGCTTCCCTCTTGAGCCTTCCTCGCTCTGGAAAATGGTCGGGCAGGACCACCTGCTTGTCCCTGAGATAGTCCAGGATGTAACGGAATAGGAAGCCATCTCGATCAATGAAAATCCTTCCTTTGGAATCTTTGGCCAGGTCATTGGCTGTCTCCTTTTTGGAGGTGAACATTTTCCAAAGCAGGGAGTGAGGAAGGCCTGTTAACGTGGAGAGGCGAGTGAAGTAAACCTGGCCCCCCACATTCAGTTCTATCACCTCTGGGAAGGGATGTGCAGCAGTTGCTTGTTCTCTAGGAGGGAGGTAAGTTCTGCAGTTTCCACTCAAAGCCATGGTACTTTCAAACCAACCAACCAAAAGTTATGGCAGAGCTCCCACTGACACCCAAGGTTGCAACAAGGCGCCGAGATCCGTTCCCCCAAGGATCTCCTAACATTTAAGGAGCCTGGGATCTGTGGGATGGTAGGGAGGGAAAAATGGAAAGGAAGATGTGGAACTGTTTTTTTCCCCCACTTTTTCTAGAAAGGATGATCATAAAAACTGGTGGATGAAGAAAGCTCAGGTCACAAGATGCAATCAAATAATCTTCCACTAAAGCCCAAAACAGTATGATCAACCCACGATCCCTGTTATTCACAAGCCTGTTGAATAAGAAGAAAAATAGAAAATCATTATCCCCCTAGGCATGGAGAAAAAGATTGAAAGAATAAAAAGCATTTGAGTTACGAAAGCTCCACAAGTCGCCCCTTTAAAGGTAACATTTGCTTACTGCATCTTTTTTTTTTGTTGTTCCCTTTGGATTTCTTTGCCTGTCAGAAAAGGCATTAACTGATCCCTGCACATTTCATGTTGCCCACGGTTCTCGTGTGAAGGAGATAAGGCTCTCCTTACCTTTGTTACGCTGCTGCATGCAGTTCTTCTGAGAAGAAGCAACAACATTTTCGAAGCAGCTCCAGAAGCAACATCGTGGTTGTGGTAGGTTGAAACTAGAGAAGCAGCAAATCCAAACAGGAAAAGGCTCAGAGAAGATAAGCTGAGTCCATTTGGCAAGATCCAGGAAGAAGTTAAGAGTTAAACCCACACATGCAAAAGTTAACCAGGCATAGGCACTGAAGAGAAATAGAGCCGTGTAGCAAGGAACGAGGCAGAACAGGCAAAAACAACATAAATCCCAAGTCAGGATCCTTCAGGAGGGGAGAGAATTTGGTTTTGATGACTTGCAGAAAGCCCAGGTGCTGAGAACACCCCAGGCATCTTTCAGGGGCACCATCCCAGAGCAGTCCCTTTCTCCATCACTCTCCACAGAGAGCCTCTCGTGTCCTCAGCTAGGCTGAGAGTACAAAACTGCAGCAGGTTTGAAAGGCTGCCCAGGGAAGCTGCTCCTGGTGGTTTCACTACCTAAGCTGCTGCTCTGGTTGCTGAGCTGGGTGGTTCCACAGTTCCCAGTGCAGTTCAGATGCTGTTGTTTCAGCAGTGCAGGGAAGAAACCATCCAGGGAAATTGCTATTACATCATCTTAAAGGAATATGGCTTTGAGAAAGCAGACCTGTAGTGGGTGGGACTCATTCGCTCGGCTCTCCCTTCTTCGTCTTTTTTTTTTAAAAAAAGAAACGGCTGCAGAAAGAGAAGCACAGCAGCAGGAGATTGCCTCAGACAGCTCTCTCTCAACCGACAATGATTCCCCAGGAAAGCTTACACTGCTCGACTTGATGGATGAAAAACCTCCAAACTCCACATCTTGTCTCTGGCAGCAGCAGCAGCAGCAGTCGCTGGCTGTGGTCATTCATTTAACTTTTGTCCTTGTCCTAAACCCAGACTTTGTTTGAATAACTTGCTAAACGCTGCCTATCAAACAAGTTTGTTGTTGTTCTTAAGAGCAATGCAGAATATACTGAGCTGAGGTGAGGATGGGTTTTGTTTTACAGAAACACCCACACATACATACACCCACATACACACTGGGGAGAGCGGGGAGAGGGAATGCTAGCCTTTACGGTTAGAGTCAACCTTGTGATCTGTCAAAGCAATGTAGGATGAGAAAAAAAGACCAGAGAGTTAAAAAAAAAAAAAGTCATTTTATTGTGAAGTCAAAGAAAGGAGCCAAATTATGCCTTTGAAGTAAAATATCCCCGTTCATGTTTACTGAGAAGAAACTTATACACAGCACAATTTAATCCAGGACTACAGTAAACCCCACTGAATTCAGGGAGGCTTACTCCCAGAAAAAAAGCATTGAGGACTGAGTAATATAGAAACAATTAATTAGTGCTACTACTCAACCCAGACTTTTCACTCAAGGCACAAATAACCAGGTTCAAATTATCCGATTTCAGACACATTATGCGAAAACCTAGCTGTCTGGAGAAAACTCTGGAAAAGATGAAAGGCAAGAGACAGAGGACCAGGTTGGGGCCTTGGTGGCATATAATCAATCAGGGCAACTTAACAGATGGAGAAAAAAAATCCAGCAATAACAATAATCCGCAGCATGTCACATTATGCCCTGTTCCAGGATAGCATCACCCATACATGCATTATAGGTGATAAAGTTGAAAGGATTAAATGAAGCTGCTGGTTAATAGTTTCATGGGCTCCGTTACAGGAATAATCAGGATTAACTAAAACAGTTTCTCCCACTCCGCCCCCATCACAAGCACTCTTGATAAGCTATGACTGCTATCCTCATGATCTCCACACAATTGGGCTGGGCATAAGGGAAAAGCTGAGCTAAGGCTTCCTTAGGAGTCTGTCATTTTAAACTCTTTGTTGCACAATGTCAAGTGCAATCATATTTAATTGCTGCTCAGAGGACTTTTTTTATAGGCACTGCAGAAGGGAGGGGGAGGCAGGGAACTAGCAATAGTTCCAATTCAATGTATTTTGAACTTCCATCTTGGAATTCAGGGGATGTTGGCTCAGATTTTACGTTTGCGCTGTTTTAATAGAATCCTTGGAATATTTAAATAGACGCCCTACTGAATGTAGATAATAATTTAGCTATTTGTATTTATTTCGTTTGTTAGCTAGACTGCCATAGACCAAACAATATACTTTTCATTTCGATAAATGTATAAAATAATAAACTTAGGTCTCATTTAATTCAGGTTCTATTTTAGCTTAAATGGCTGTGGGCTGGATAATTGTGCTCCAATAAATAAAAAGGTAAATAAACCAAGTTGTTAGGCAGTCTTCTTTTGCATGTGTATAGTACCACCTAATGGCTTATAAAAGTATTGCATTGATTTAAAAGTTTTCTTTCACAGTGTTACAAAATACAACTGCAATAATATATTAATTTAGTCTGTTGGATTGTGAATATATAATGGACAAAATAGATACTCAAATCAGCTTTTTATGTGAGGGAGAATACCAAACAGACTTAAATCTTGGTGTTCTGTTCACAAATTTTCTTAGAAAAAAATGCAAATTTTTCTGAGAAAATTGCTAAAGACTGATTTGCAAAAATATATTTTAGGGATCTTGTTAACTGCAAACAAGTTTACAACTCATTATTTTAAAATGAGCTAACTGAATTTTTGAAGAAATAGTCAAAGTGGCATACAATACAAAAGCATTGCTCTTAAAAAGAGAATAGTCAGAGATTCAATACAGACTAAATGCGGAAACAAAACTTCTTTAAAAACAGAAGCAAGGAACAGTAAATATATGCTTTTTAAATGTGTTTTTAATGTAAACAGTTAGAAATTATAAAACTGTTTATTTGTCATTTAAAATTCCCTGATATAGGGAATACAAGGGTAAAAATCTTTAGATTAATTTATTCTAATTCAAGTAGGTGCATGAATAGAAAAAAATGTACATACTGTATTTCCATGTATGTATTCCTAGTTTGATGCTGAAATAATGAGGCTAGAATGAAAATCAGATAACTGGTATCCAGGAGTAGGCTTCAAAAAATTTAGCAACTGGTTCTCTGCCCAGTTTGCTGGGTGGGTGTGGCCATGGTGGGCATGACCTATTTAGCCTCCTGCACCACAGCAGGGCGTGGGGGGCATTTTTGCCCTCCCTGGGTTCTGCAGGCTTTCCTCGAGCCTCCAGGAGGGTGAAAATGGCCTCCCCGAGCTCCAGAGGCCTGTTTCTGGCCTTCCCAAACTTCCAGGAGGCCCATTTTTCACCCTCCCCAAGCCTTCACACAGGCACTGCACTTACCTGGGATCCAAAACGAGCTGCATGGAGACTCCTGGGAGGGGTGGCGCAAGGTGGGTGGGGCCACCCAGTCATTGCAACTATCGGTTCGGCGAACCAGATATAAAATTAACATTCGGTTCACCCAAATCAGTGCGAACCAGTAGTAGCCCACCCCTGATGGTATCTGCGAACCAGTAGTAGCCCCCCCCCCCCCCCCCCGATGGTATCTGTGACAAGATCTAATCTTTTTCCAATTGATATAGCTCCGCATTGAATCAGCAACTCCCAGAACTCCAGATTTGTTAAGGATTCCTGGAATTGTTTTTCCAATATATTTGGAGATCAGCGGGTTTGAAGGCCCATGTTGACATCTATTCTCGATCATGGAGCTCATTGGGTGGTCATTCACTTCAACCTGTGTCACGGAATTATTATTTTTGGAAGAAAATTAAGAGAACACTAAGAGAGGGAATGAATCAAGATCATGTAAAGTGTTAGTATTGTTTTACAATATCTTGGTAAGGCCACATTTGGATAATGTATCCAGTTTGGGCACTACAATATAAAAAGATGTTGAGGTTCTGGAAAGAGTGCAGAGGCTAAAACATCAAAATATTGCAGGAACTCGGTATTTGTAGTCTAACGAAAAAAAGAACTAGGGGTGACATGATAGTAGTTTTCCAAGGGGCTGCCACAAAGAAGACAATAGGTTGACCTATTCTCCAAAGTATCTGAAGGCAGGACAAGAAGCAATGGATGGAAACTAACCCAGGAGAGATCCAACCTAGAAATAAAGTGAAATTGCCTGGCATAGCAATCAATCACTGGACCAGCTTGCCTTCAGAAGTTGTGGGTGCTCCATCACTAGATGATTTTAAGAAGAGATTGGACAGCCATATGTTTGAAATGGTATAGGGTCTTCTAACTTGATCAGGGGGTTGGATTTGAAGACTTTCAAGGTCCCTTCGAACTCTATTATTCTAGTCCACTCTAGTCTAGTCTACTCATCCTCTAATGACCAGTCACTTAACTAAACCACAGCTATTTACAAGTCATTTTCAGAATTCAGCCCTTGGTCACATAATCACACTTGGCAGCCAGCTCACTGTTACAGCCATTGACAACATCCTGCAGTGACATGGCCTTGATTTACATTTTTTTTTTTGTTAGTTTCCAGTTTTTAC